AATCAGAATGCTTCTTAGAAGTGAGGATGGTGAGGCGTTGTGTCTCATACTTCAGACATGTTATTAGGAGGGCCCAGTCCTTCATGCTTTGTGAAAAGGAAAGTCACTGACGAAGTGTAAGACGAAAGCGTGGAAGCAACAATGGGTACAAACATAACCATTGTGAGGCTGGCACAGGACCAGGCAGTGTTTCGTCCTGTTGTGCATAAGGTCACTGTGAATTGGCACCTAACAACCACTACAGCAAAAACCTGACAGTGATGAAGAAGGTGGTGATGCTCTCCTGTTCTGCCCCGGCCGACCTCCGTTTCTCCCACAGGCTCACCCTGCCTTCCTGTACTATCACATGCTCTGATTTAGATGAAGAACTCTCCCATGCGTCCCTCATGCCCACCTCATGCCCTGTGCACACCCATTCCAGAAAGCCTTCTTACTCCCTCTGTCCTGGATGACCGAATTGTCTGGGACATCTCCTGCCCTTAGCTATGTGGGCAAGCCATTAACCATGGGTCCCTGCCCTTTTCTGGAGGAAGATCCCTGTTTGTTTGCTTATTTCAAGTATGGATTTTTTTTTTTTTTTTAAGGTTTTTATTGAGAATTGAGTGAAAGGTTACAAATCAGTTTTACATTCAACAAATTACATTCTTCATTTCATTTCGATGATTACAATCCCCTCAGCGCAATATCCCTTGCCCCATTTCTAACCTGTGTTTCTTGTTTCCCCTCCTCCTCCTTTCCTCGCCCCTTTGAATTTTGTCCTTGGGTAAATGCTGCCCTTTCTAGCTGACCTGCTGACCATTTGCATGGTGGGCGATCCTCACTAGTGTGATTCCCCCTCTATGACCATCTACTGCTAGGCTGAAAATTGAGCTGCAAGGATGAGTTCCATTCCAGACCTGGAAGGTGACCACGGGCCACATTCTAGGGTTCCTCCATGCTCGTTTATATTTTTGAGTTTTGTTCCACATTTTCTCCCACTACTCTATCCAGAACCTTCTAATGTGGTCCTTTCAGAGCAGGAACTATGAATTCCTTGAGAGAGCACATCCTGTAGCTGTCCTCTGGGCCAGGAAAGGGTCTCCTTCTGGGTTGTCAACTGACTTGCCCATTGGCCAAAGGGTGGTGACATCATTGGTCTCTTGAATAGCCCAGCCAATCAATCCACTTCTCTTCAGAAGGTGTTTTCTAGATGATTCCGATTCAGTCTTTGCTCAGCTTCCCCCTCCCCTCTGGGCATGCTCACACACATAGAGAAACTGTAAACAGTAGGTTATTTTTTTTTAAGGCAAGTCTCATGAATAAGTTTCAGTGAGTAGACTAGAACATGGAGAGAACAGGGTGTCCATAAATGCTGCCTCCCCCACCCCAACCCCCCCAAAAAAGCCACTGTAGTTTGTGGTTTAAACTGTAAATCTCAATGACACATTTGTGGGAATTTAGTGTTTTCCTCCCCAAACAGCCTGGTATTATTTTGTTCATGTGTCCTTGAATATCGTTGCTGGTTTTAAATGCAATCGGGTTGATTTCAACTCATAGCGACCCTGTTTAGGGTTTCCGAGGAGCGTCTGATGAGTTTGCAATGCCGACCTTGCAGTTCAAACCGACCTTGTGGTCCAGTGCTTATCCTACAGCGCCATACCGGGACTCCTTGAATATATATATAAATCTAACTTACCAGATCTGAAAACCAGCAGTGTCCTCACAAAGCCAGATGTGAATCTCTTGGACAGTGTGTCCAGGGCTGACTGGTGACCTGGCCCAGGCTTGGGTGCCCCTTTATTCACTCACTCAGCAAGTACAGCCTTGGGCTGGGGGTCAGGATGCAGCCCCCAGCCCCACCCTCGGAGCCTGTGGGTGGCAGCAGACAAGTAACAAACAAGGTCTGGGCCCAGTGTAGTGCTGAGCAGCTGAGGAGCAAGAAGGACTCAAGCTGTGGCCCCCAGGACGAGCTGACCGTCTCTTTGCTGGCTTCTCTTCCTTTGCCAGGTACTGGAAGCGAATGGGATGCCCATGGATGACGATCAGTACGCTCTGCTGGCCACAAAGATAGGATTGAGAGACGAAGGCATAAATTACCTTGATTTTGCAACAGGATTTGAAGGTAGCTAATCTCGGGACACAGCAGGGACAGTAGGCGTCCCGCCCCGCCAGGCCACAGGCTGCTGGGGCTGAAGCGGAGAAGCCCTGAGGTTGGAACGGTGTGCCTGGTGAGATCGGAAGCAGCCAACTGTGCCGATTTTTGCCTGATTTCGTTTCCTAGTAACTTAAAACCCAATTGGTTCATACTAGGAGCTCTGGTAGCATAGTGATTATGGATCGGGCTGCAAACAGCAAGGTCAGCAGTTCGACACTACCAGCTGTTCCATGGGAGAAAGATGAGGATTTCTGCTCCCGTATGAGTCGGAGACCCCACGGGGCTCTTCTCTGTCCTCTCCCGTCTCTCTGAGTCAGAATTGACTTGATGGCAGTGCTTTGGGCTTTGGTTTTGACGAAGCGTAATATTTGAATCTCTGGGTGGTACAAATGGCTAACACACTCAGCTCCTGCAGGCTTGAATTTTGCATCTCCCTAGAGGCACCTTGGAAGAAAGGCCTGGAGATCTAGTTCCCCCAAATCCAGCCACTTTGAAGCCCTGTGAGTGCATTTGTACTGATGTACAGGCTCCCTGAGGGTCCGAGTCAACGGGAAGCGCAGCTGCTGTGGGAGCAAGATCCCTTGTGAGCAGACACCTGGTTAGCACACAGGCACCCTCACTTTGTCGCATGTCACAGATACTGCGCTGTTAACATGTGGGGGTTTCGGGCAACTCAATATTGAGCAAGTCTATCAACGCCTTGTTTTCCGAAAGCATGTGGCCCCTGTGACTCTGTGCCAGGTTTTGGTGATTCTTGCATAATGCTCTCGCAGACTTTATAGACAGTACAAGAGAGACCAAAACATCATGTGACTTGTCTGGTTGAGACTTTGGCTTCCTGCAAAGGTTGGGAACTGAACCCTGGTATCTCCGACGTCTGCCGGCATCCCTAGTGAATTAACCAGTGTTAGATGAGGCACACGTTTCTGTGTTTAGAAAGTGATTCTAGGACACTGACAGAGGCAGAATTTCTCCTTCTGCCTCTGGGCCTGACAAGCTGCCAGAGACCCAGTCCCTGTCGTCAAGGGAGGGCAGAGAATCCAGACAAGTCCGCACACGAAGGCACCGGCGTGTGTGCGAGATGTGCTGGGGTCCAGAGAGCCCTTTCTTCCTTCTGAAAACAGGAATGTGTCTAAGACATTGAAGGAAAAGAGACTGAGCTTAACCACTTAGAGCTGAGCTTCCAGAGCAGAATCATATGCCTGGTAGCTTTTTCTCAGAATTTGGGTCAGAATGATGAAAACGGTGCTGTGGTAGAAATACAGAGGGGGGCAGGTAGGGTTTCTAATTGTTGTCACTGTTTCAGATTCAGAAATGAGCCGGCCAGCCTCAACCGCAGTTCAAAGTCCAATTCTGACCAAAAATTACATGGACAGTCACTTTATAACTGCTGAAGAATGCTTGAGGCTTTTCCCCAAGAGACTGAAGGAGTCCTTCCGGGTGAGTCAGGGCTGGCCTCTGCGACCTGCCACATTTTGGTAATCTGTGCTCAGTGCTGGGTGCTCCAGGAAGCAGCCCTGCCCAGGGAATTCTGCCACGTGGCTGTCAGAAGCAGCAAATGCATGGTGCGTCGTACACATCGTGGCTAACTATGGAGGGGAGCGTGAGGGGGCTCTGGGGTGTGGGGCAAGATCAAGGACTTCCTGGAGGAGATGACCCCTGAAATGAATCCTAAACTCTAAGCTTGTGCTGGGCAGAAAGAGGAGCAAACACTACATGAGGCCTCATGAGCAAGGCGCAGCAGACAAGGTGCTGGGCCTTAGGACGTGAGGACCGAGGCACGGGCTGTGTGCACTAGTCATCCAGACAGCAGTCCTCTGACACAGAGGCAGGGACACAGTGGCCTAAGGAGGGTGACTGAAACCGGAAGGCAGGGAGCTGGGTTAATAAGCTGGACCATTGTTGCTGTTTTTAAGAGCCGTCCAGTAGGTTGTGACTCATAGCAACCCTGTATAGGGTTTCTGTGGAGTGGCTGGTGGGTTTGAACTGCCAGTGTTGAGGTCAGCACTCCAATACGTATCCTACAGCGCCACACCAAGACTCCAAGCTGATCAGTAATGGCTACAAAACAGGTCTCAGGGTCCCGGGGGAGAGACCAAGGGATGGAGACTCTAGGACGTGGAGGAAGCAGATGGTTGGCAGTTTGGGGGATCATCTAGGGAGACTAGCAACAGATGAGGGGAGATCCTACATTCTTAAGCATCTTCCCCACACTGATGGCCAATCAGAGATTCATTGTGGTGACTGGACTCCTGCTTCAAAATGAATATATTCAGGGTGACCATTTCGCAGGGGTTTGGCTGGATCCGTCGGACTCTGAGCATCCCCATGCAAGGCCTGAGTAAACACGGAGACTAACTCTGAGACTCCAGCTAGACCTAACGTCCAGTACACAGGGCTCTCTGAGAATCCCCTTGCTGGTCTGAGCTGGAGGGAGTGGGGGTCATTCTGTGGCTGAAGCCTGGCTTCGTGACAGGCATTCGGGGAAACCAGGAGGCATTAAGAGCAGAAAGGCACTGGAAAATGCTGAGTCTGCCTCCCCAGCCAAACAGGAAGGCCTCAGAGTCAAGAGCAGAAGCTTTTAGATCGATTTCCACAGTGTTTACCGTAGTGACGACTGCACATAGGAGGTGCCCACGAAATCCCAAGACATTTCCGTTAGACACTGAGTCAGGTGCTTGCTGTGTGCCTTAAGTAAGGACTCACAGACACGCGCAGTAGCCCCAGAATACCAGATTGTCTGGGAGACGGTGGCAGTAGGGACAGTGAGAAGCAGAGATGCTGAGCCAGGGCTGTCCGTGCTGTGTTCCCCAGCAGCATGACCCGGTGGTGGGGTGGGGGTGGGGGTGGGGGTCCTGAGCTGAGCACTCTGCCACCCTGTGGGCGCTGAGCTTCAGTCTCCTTATCTGCAAAATGAGGGAGGGTCCTTGCGGTACAGCAGGTGGCATAAATGAGTCCAGACAGTATTCCCAAGTGGCGGGTGCCAAGTTCAGACACAGGGATGTGTTTTTCTGAGTCCTCGACGCAGAGTGCTGACCACTGGGTGGCCCGTGGCTGTACCACTCTGTACACTTCGTCTTCCACTCTGGTGGCCACAGAAGTTGTCAAACATCATGGAATCCTATAAATTATTCGTTTTTATCAAAAATTCTATAGAAGAACACTGATCCAAAAGGGAGATGTGCAGAACAGAATTGCAAATTCTCATGGACGCGAGACTTTCTGGAGCTGTGGAGTATGGATGATCCCCTGAATTGCCCTGAGGTCATCTTTAGACAAATTATTCCCTGAAGTCTTCTTAAAACCAAATCACAAGAGTAGCTGAACTCATTTCATAAAAAGGTCTGTCTTGAGCACAGTGCTCTTTTGACCACTGTGTTGTTGTTGTTGGTGGTGGTAGTGATGCCATCAAGTCAGTTCTAACCATAGCTACCCAGGGTAGAGTTTCCAAGGCTGTAAATCTTCACGGGAGCAGAAAGCCTCATCTTTCTCCCACGGAACATGGCTGGTAGATTCGAACTGCTGAGCTTCTGGTTAACAACCCAATGCATAATCGCTATGCTACGGGGCTCAAGTCAGTTCCAACTCATAGTGATCCTACGCACAACAGAACAAAACACTGCCATCCTCGCAACTGTTGTTACGTGTGAGCCCACTGCTGCTGTCACTGTGCCTATCCATTCCACTGAGCAGGATGTCCTTCTCCAGGGACTGATCCTTCCTGACAGTGTGTCCAGAGACAAGTCACCCCATCTTCACTTCTAAGGAGTATTCTGACTGTACTTATTCCGACACAGATTCGTTTGTCCTTCTGGCAGTCCGTGGTGTTTTCAATATTCTTCTCCAACACCATCATTCAAATGAATTGCTTCTTCTACGGTCTTCCTTATTCGCTGTTCAACTTTCACATGCATATAAGACTCTTGAAAATAGCATGACTTGGGTCAGGCGCACCTTAGTCCTCACACTGACCACTGTGCTCCTTAGTGACTCTGTGTATTTTTTTTTCATCTTCTTCCGATGTTTCCAGTGTCATTCAATATTTTGCCCAGAGAATCTTCTAATATCGCAACCCAAGGCTTGAGTTTTCTCTTCAGGTCTTTCAGCTTGAGAAATGCTCAACGTGTTCATCCATTTAGATTTTCTAACTCCAGGTCCTGGCACATTTCATTAATACTTGACTTTGTCTTCTCAAACATCATTTTAAATTTTCTGTTCAGCTCTCGTAATTTCTCATTTCTTCCCATCACTTTAGCTTCCCTAATCTCAAGAGCAAGTATAGGAGTCTCCTCTGGCATCCCTTTGGCCTTTTCTTTCTCTTTTGTCTTTTGCTTGCTCCATTGTTGATGCTCTTGGTGTCATCCACAGCTCTTCTGGTCTTTTCTTTAGTGTCTAATGCGTCGAATCTGGTCTTGAGATGATCTTTAATTCAGGTGGAATATATTCAAGGTCATATTTTACCTTTTGTGGATTTACTCTAATTTTCTTCACTTCAGTCTGAACTTTCCTATGAGCAATTGATTATCTGTTCCACAATCCTCCCCGGTCTTGCTTTAGCTCATGTTACTGAACTTCTCCATGGTGTCTTCTGCCATAAGCGCTCGATTTAATTCCCTTATATTCTATTTGGTAAAGCCCATTGTGTAGTCACCGTTGGTGTTGTTGGGAAAATGGTATTTGCAATGAAGTCATTGGTCTTGAAAAATTCTAGGATGTCATCTCCAACATCGTTTCTATCACCAAGGCCATATTTTTAAACTATTGATCCTTCTTTGTTTCCAACTTTTGCATTCCACTCACCAGTAACTTTCAGTGCATCAGTACTGCATGTTTGATCGATTTCTGACGAAGAATTTGGTAGAATTCTTCTATTTCATTATCCCTGGCTTTAGTGGTTGGTGTGTAAATTTGAATAATAATGGTATTAACTGGTTGTCCTTATAGGTGTATGAATATTATCTTATCAACGGGAGTATTGTATTTTAAGATAGATCTTGAAATGTTCTTTTTGATGATGAATGCAATGTTGTTCCTTACAGATTTGTCATTTCTGGCCTAACAAACCATATGATTGAGTGATTCAAAATAGCCAATACCGGTCCACATTGCAGCTCACGGATTCCTAGGCTATAACTCTTTATGTGTTCCATTTCATTTTTGACAGATTTCAGTTTTCCCAGGTTCATGCTTTGTACATTCCATGTTCTAATTATTATTGGATGTTTACAGCTGTTTCTCATCATTTTGAGTTGTGCTGTGTGCCATCAGCATAGTAAGGTCCCTGAAGCTTTATTCCGTTTGCATCATCACAGTCAGGTTTACTTTCAGGGGGCAGCTCTTCCCCAGTTATGTGTTGTGTACTTTCCAACCTGAAGAGCTCATCTTCTTGTGCAATATCTGACAATATTCTGGTGCTATTTATAGTGCTGTCATCTTCTGGGACTGTATCTGACAGTGTTCTGCTGATATTCATAAGGGTTTCAGTGGGTAAACATTCAGAAGCAGTCCATTCTCCTCCTAGTCTGTCTTTGTCTGGAAGCTCAGCTGAAGTCTGTCCATAATGGATGACCCTGCTGATATTTAAAATAGCCGTGGCATAGTTTCCAGAATCACAGCAACATGCAAATCACCACAGTATGACACACTGACAGACAAGTGGTGGACCTACCCAGAGATGGAGGCAGAGACGATGACATGGAGAGATGGAGTGGCTGGGGACTTTAGACCCAGAGAGGGAGAGGGGCTGTGTGCTGATGACTTGGGGGGCAGGCTTACCCTTTGGTTAGTTGATGATGCATGGAGGGGATTGTAACCATGGCAATGAAACAATATACAATAGGATGAATGTAAAATTAATGTTCTCCCATGTAAACTATCATATAATTCACAATAAAACAACAACAACAACAAAAGACTAGTCAGGAAACTTAGGAGACAGTGAGTTGGTGTGGATGGGGGAGGAGCTTCTCAGAAAAGGCGGGTGAGAAGGTTGTACAAGTCAGTGAACATCACCAGCGTCACTGATTGTACATGGGGACATGGTTGACTTGGTGTGTGTTTTGCTATAGCCCTAAAACCAGCAGCAACATTACTTAATATGGAAACAGTCCACGTCAGATGTCAGGATCCTGATGTGCGCATGTTCCAGAGAGCTCCACGCTCCCGTCACAAGGGGCCCTACCACGAACTGAGCTAGTGGGAGCCAAAAGGAAAGATGCCTGGCTTCTTTGCTCTAAAAGAGCGACCTGGAGAACACATCATGTCATATCTTGGGCGGAAGCAGAGCATTGCAAGGTTCTTCTTAGAGCAGGGAAACCCCCAAAGCAAGGCCCCCTCCTGTCTTTGCAGATAGCCTGCCCCTGCCGTATTGGCCGGTGGCTGTCGGGGCTCTGGAGGGACACACGCTCTGATGCGCGCGCTTTGTTTGCAGGACCCGTACGCCGCCTTCTTCAAGATGGACACGGACCGGGACGGCATCATCAGCATGCAGGACCTCCACAGGCTGCTGATGTACCTGCTCTTCAACCTGCGGGACAAGGAGTTCGTGCGATTCCTGGAGCTCCTGGGCCTGAAGCTCAGCCTCACTCTCAATTTCCGCGAGTTCCGGAATTTGTGTGAGAAGGGGGCGTATGGGACGGAAGACGCGCCCCAGAGACTCAATAGGTAAGGGGCAGCAGCAGGGTCTGCCAGCCTGAGTCCTGTATTCCTACCAGGTCCCTGTGGGGAGACACCGAATGGAGATGCCAATTAGAAGCAATAATGTGTGAGAGAGATGACACCAGGACCAGGGCAGCCCCTGTAGGTCAGATTAGAGCAGGGTTCCAGAGACTTCTCAGGGACTGGTTTTTCAGAAACAAATAGCCAGACTTTTCTTCCAAGGTTCCTCTGAGTGGACTCCAACTTCCGTGCGTCCAGTTAACAGCTGAGTGCTTTCACCTGAGGCATCTGTCAAAAGGTTGGAACATACAAGCGCAGATTAGAAAGCAGAGGTGTCACCCACGTGTGAGCATCGTTTATGTCTGATCTCACTGGGCATCCATTCATAACCTCCACTTGCATCTGTTACTGTTTATCAGTGCGGGGTCCCATGAGAGACTTTTTGCTCAGCCTTTTGAGAATGAAGCCTCTAAGAACTTTGCATTGACTTGTATGTGAAGCTTCCAGTCTGTCTTGTTCTCTGGTGCTGCTATAATGGAAATCCCACACAGGGGTGGCTTTCCCAGACAGAGCTGTGTTCTCTCACAGGCAGGAGGCTAGGAGTGCAGATGCAGAGCACGGGCTCTGGGGGAGAGGTCCTGGTCTCCTTCATGGAGATCTCCATGGGCCTTGGCCTCAGCGTTCCCTGGGATCTCAGCAAAGACACCGGGCCCACAGGACACACTCCACTCCTGCCTCTTTTCTTTGGGTGGCAGTAGGTCTCTCTGAGCTGTGCTCACTTCTGTCTCCTTCATCTCGTGTAAGATGAAAGCTGCTACTGGCCTGGGAAATTCCCTGACATCAGATCAGGGTTGTGATGAGATTGAGGGGATTGCAGCCCACCTTCAGTCCTCTTAGTGGCTGAGCTCATCAGATCCCATCACAGGGGTTGCTGGGGGCCAGCCTCAGCAGACTTACTCAGGGGTTCCGAAGGAGGATGTGGCGTTGGCGGAAAAAGAAATCACACAGAGTCAGTGGGTCGTGATGAATTCAAGATCTTTCATATCATATTCTATCTTACAACCACCTTATATACCGTTACAAAAAAACATTGCTTTCATAGCACTCAATGCCTTCAAAGTACAATCTATTCTGGGGGCACATTCTTCATGGTTTATGACCCTTAAGTTTACATCAGGGATAAGAAGTTAAAACATTACATCAGAGCATACGTGACATCCTGCTTTCTTGTAACCTCTTGGTTAAACATTTGTTCCTACATAAATAGCTTTTGTTCTTTTCCCTGAGGAGCAAGTTAACCTTTACATATGTTTCTTAACCTCTATCTATTAAGTCTCGTTAAATCATCAATCTTGGGTGCAGTCAACTCCCTCCATACACTATCTGCTTCTAGCCTACAAAAACATCACTTATCTACAAGACTGAGGCCATGAAAAACAACTTCCCTTATCAATCTAAGAACATCTAAGTTAAACCTTTTATTTACATATCTGTGTGTACTCATAGCTCTTATTCATGGTCTAGTTAAGAATTCTTTATTGTCTTGAACTAAGGTTACAAGAAGAATGTTTATAATCGCTAAACCTAAGCTGGTAGTAATTCAACTGACAAATCCTGTCTCCTAGCAGTCTTAAGAACATTATTAATATAAGTATTAAAACTACCTATGATTATAAGTAGAATAAATGTAGCTAATATATGCCTTCTAACTTTTAATAAAAACATTCTAAAGTGTTGTTGTTGTTAAGTGCCTTCGAGTCGGTTCCGACCCATAGCGACCCTGTACAGGGTTTCCGTGTAGGAGAGTCAAAATCTAAAGTAAAGGAACACTAATAAAATCATGAATAAATCAGAGAATGATTCAAAAAGAGAAAAATTAACTAGGGGCCTTTGTATAAAAATTTTTCTTTGTGCCTTTGCCATCCAAAGAAACAATCATTGTTGCTTTGCTAGAACAATGAGCTCTTCATGCGCAGGGTCCCCGTCGTCTCATTTCTTTATTTCAATTCCTTGATTAATATGCCGTCCCTTCATTTCAATTCCTTGATTAATATGGCTCTCGCCAAGGGGTCATCACAGAAATGCCTCACGACATCATCACAGAACTGCCCCATGACATCGTCACAGAACCGCCCCACAACATCATCACAGAACTGCCCCACGACATCATCACAGAATTGCCACACATCATCACAGAACTGCCACACAACATCACAGAACTGCCCCACGACATCATCACAGAACTGCCACACAACATCACAGAACTGCCCCACGACATCACCACAAAACTGCCAAACATCTGGGAATCAGGGCCCAACCAAGCTGACATGCATTTTGTGGGGGCGGAGAGACTGACACATGTGCTCTGTGACGTGGTGTCTCCTGCAGCGTGAGCGTGGCCTTACTCAATACTTGTCAGGAGGGCACTGCCCTTTGTCTGGGGACTCATGCTGCCTCCCGCCTCCTTTCGTTGTCTAAGCAGGAGGCGGAAGTGTGGGCAACCACGGGACAACTGATGAAAGTTTGTTCTGCCACCTGTTTCCAAGATGCAGGGACCCTGTCCTACCACACCCCAACCCCAGGCAAGGCTCCTTCCCAGACCCCGGCCCACCAAGGCCAATCTCCCTTACGGTGGGGAAAAGACTGTCAGGTCCAGCCTACTGTCCTGCTTGTGCCACCCACTTTGTCCTCCTGAGGTGGTGATTGGCCTTGACATCTAGCATGGTGGCTGCCCACCCCTTCTGCAGCTCCCCATGATCACTGAAAACCCACACCTGTAAACATAGTCACTGTTCAGTCCCACCTCAGCCAGCGGTCATTGTTACTGCGTGTCGTTGACTCAGTTCAGATTCACAGCAGCCACGTAGATGGTTCCCAAGGCTGTAATCTTCAGGGGCGCAGAAAGCCTCATTACTCTCCTAGGGAGCAGCAGGTGGGCTTGAGCTGCCAACCTTGTGGTTAGTATTCCAGTGCTTATCCTACAGTGCCACAGCGCTCCCTCAACCAGTCACTGAAGTGCTGTCTGATGTAATAAGGTGACATCATCCTGACATCTGGGTATTGTTCTAACCGTGAGACCCTGCTGCCCTGAGCTTCCCCAGCAAGCCCACACAGGAGCAGCTTCCCTGGAGGGCAACAACACCCCCTCCCTAAGGCACTGTTTCAGATCAGGGGTCACAACACCAAGCTGCTCTTTTTTCCCCTAGTCACAGTTTATGGGAAAGTAGGTGTCATTTTTTTTTCAATCACTTCATATGCATGCGAAAGCTGGACAGTGAATAAGGAAGACCGTAGACAAATTGATGCTTTTGCGTCATGGTGTTGGAGGAGAATATTAAAAGTGCCATGGGCTGCCAAAAGAACCAACAGATCTGTGTTAGAAGAAGTACAGCCAGAGTGCTCTTTGGAGGCCACGATGGCCAAACTTCGTCTCTCATACTATAGACACATTGTCAGTAGGGACCAGTCTCTGGAGAAGGATATCACGTTGGGTAAGGTGGAGGTTCAGAGAAAAAGAGGAAGACCCCCAGCCCACAGCTAGATGGATTGGCAAAGTGGCAGCATCAATGGGTTCAAGTGTGGCAACAATTGTGAGGTTGGCCCAGGACTGGGCATTGTTTTGTTCTGTTATGCGTAGGGTCACCGTAAGTCAGTTTCAACACGGTTTCATTTCTGTCCAATCTGTAAAAGCAAAGAAGTGATGATGGAACACGTGAGCTGGACACCTGCTTCCAGTCACTCAGATCTGAGGAGCTTGACTATGGGACTTGATTGCCTCACATTACAACAGACTCCGAGGGAGGAATTTGGTTTTGCTGTGCTTTTTTGTTTGTGTTTTCCTGGAAAATGAACATAAGAAATGTCAAGGCCCAGACACTGTCCTCCATTCAAATGACGCAGCCTTCTCTTTCGCACTGAATGATTCAGTCTGTGTTTACTAAGGGTTGTCCTAGGACCAGGGAGGGCAGGAATGAGTCAGAGTCAGACGCAGCCTTTAAAGACTTCACAGTTGGACATGAACAGGCACAAAGGCAATGTTGTTGTCAGATGCCATGGAGTCAGTTCCGACTCATAGTGACCCTGTATTGGGCTTCAGAGAGTGGCTAAAGGCTTTGAACTGCCCACCTCGTGGTTAGCAGTCCAGTGCCGATCCTCAGCACCACACCAGGACTGCAGAACGAAACGGTATCCTTAAATAAAAGACCGCTCGGTCAACTGTGTCAACCTTGAACACCGGGCTCTTTCTAAGATTTGTCTCTGTGTGATGAAATTGACAACGTTGAGAAAGGTTAGCTGAGTGGAGGAGGGGGCACTGAGTGTCCGTCGATGGTGGGGGGCGCGGGTCATTTGGAAAGGGAGGGTGAGAATGGGTACTCAGCAGAAGTCACTAACTACATGTGGAATTCGTGGAATTGGTATCTCTTTTGCTGCATGTGTTTTTTACATACATACACACACACACACACAATAAAACTGGAAAGAAAAGAAAAAACATATAGAAGAATGAATGGTGGGTCCCAGGGGTGCAGCAGGGCTGGGGGGATTAGACAGAGTGGAGACATGTAGTTGGATCATGCAGGCTGTGGTAAACGTCATTCAAGGCCAGAGCACAGAGAAGGGACCCTGTGGATCTGGGCCACATTGTGAATGGGAGAGGGTGAGGACAGGAGCCTGTCTTGAGGGGGAGAGGGGAGCTGCAGGGAAGCGGGGCCATGCCAGAGCTCCACTGAGGACTTCATTCTGTAGCCGCAGACCCCGGGGAGTGAGGAGGTCATCTTTATGCTTCTCAAAGATCCTTCAGCAGCCCCCAAGTGGGGCATGGACTGCAATGGGAGGAACGGAGCCCAGTGAGACTTGTCTTGGGCTCCAGGGGCCTGGGAGAGAGGTAGCTTTGAGATCAAACCAGAAGCCCTCTCATGGGCCAGACTGGGGTGCTTCATGAAGACATGTCCTCTCACGTCCTTTAGTCACTAAGTAAGTCCGTCTGAAGAATTCATACACATGCC